TCCTCGGATCGGACGTCCGGGCACTACCAAGTCCATGATCCAAATCCCTTGACACGCAGAAACGGGCACCTCCTTTCTTTCCTTTTCTGTTTTATCTGTTTTATAAACCAATCACATCTAAACCTCAATGTGGTGTTATACGGGTGCTACCGTTTGTTAAAAAACAATTCAAGAAAAATAGTGAGGATTGTTATGAACTCACTAGCTGCCCTATGCGCTTTGCTGAAGAGTCAGACTGAAAAGTACTGTTCGCTGATTTGTTGTGAGAGAAAAATACTATACCATAGCTGATAAGTCTAAGTGAACGGAATTGCAAGAACTTGCATAGACAACATGGAAACGTCCTTTTTTTTCATTCCGGAAAAAAAAGTACAGGGGGACCATGTTTGAAGCATGCTTGTCAATTCCGTTCGACGAGGTGAAAAACAACGAACTCTCACGTCTTCCTGGATTCCTGGAAGTCTTCAGAACAAACACACACACGCTATTTTCACAATATAAATCAAATTTGAACACCCAAAAAGAAACGAATTCAGCTCCTCTGGTTCTGAATTCTGAACTTGAGCAGTGGCTGACTGGCTGGCCGCCTGGCCCGGCACGCCGGCCCGGTGTTTTTTTTTATCTTTTTCTTTTTGCGACGTGGCCCCGTGCTCTTTGACAGCCCACACCCCCACCCCTGCAAACGACGATGCTCCGATCCAACGGTCAGATCAGCTCAGCCACATCCAACGGCCACGCGGGGTCTCTCGTCCACCTCCCCGCCTCTACATAAACCCCGCCTCCACGCGCGCCTCAAAACCTAGCACTCTCCGGCTCCGCCGCCACTTCTCTCCTCCGTCTTCCACGAGGCGAAACCCTAGCGCCCGAGTCCCACCCCAGCTCCCCTACTCCCACGAGCCATGGCGGCGGCGGATCTGGCGTACGCGCCGCCGATGAAGTCGGGCAAGGCCGGGTTCGAGGCGGGACTGATGGATCCGCAGCACAGGATCCGCATCACGCTCTCCTCCAGGAGCGTCAAGAACCTCGAGAAAGGTACGGCCGCTATCAGTCCATGCTCCGTTGCGTGACGATGGATGCCATTTCCTTTGTTTGTTCCTGCGGCATCGGGTTGGAATCGAATAACTTACCCTTTGTTCGTTCCTGCGGCATCGGGTTGGAATCGAATAACTTACCTCGTGTTTCTTTGCGGCGCTGCGGCGTTTTGAGCAGTCTGCGGCGATCTGGTGAAGGGCGCCAAGGGCAAGGACCTGAAGATCAAGGGCCCCGTGCGGATGCCTACCAAGGTGCTCCACATCACCACCAGGAAGTCTCCCTGTGGTGAAGGTGACCTCTCCTTCCTTTCCCCTCACCGCCTCACGTTCATAAGTGTAGGTCTCGAATTGCCTGTTGTGATGGACATTGAGAGATGTGAATTGCGATGAATGGTATGCTGAGCAGATGATGTTAACATCTACATCGACTGATATCTTTCGGGGTCTCTGATGTTCAAAAAAAAAAATCGAGCTTTTTAAAACTGATGCTTAGCATATTGTCACCGGGAAAGTTTCATCTTCATTTATGGAACATGCTGTATTCATGTGTATCAATACTGTTGGTAGAAGAGCATTTGTGTGGTGTCATACTCTTAGGATAAGGTCTTGTTGTTTATGGTTAATTGGTGGGCTGAGCATATGATGTTAACTAGGAGATGCTGCTGAGATATTACATCATTGAAGTCTCTAAAACCGAGCTTTTTAAAATTGATGCTTGGCCTATGATAGTGTTTAGTTTAGTGTGGAGGTCATTCTCGTTATTGCATGGTTTCAGGTAAACATAGAATTACTTGCTGTTTGATCATAGAATAGTTTAATGCTGGCTGTTAAAGAATCTTTTCATTTTGGCCTGGCTCAAATTTAGCATGCAGCGTTTAGTCTGGAATAGGCTATGTGCCCAGAGTAGACTTGATGGTGAAATATTGTGACCAATTTTGGGCATACAGAGCCTTCTTTCCTGGTTTTCTACAGTTGATGAATATGTTTCTACAGTTGATGAATATATTTAGTTATTGGATGTGTCATTGATACGTTTTTGCTACCCTTAAGAGCCTTCTATATCCTAGAAAGTTTAGTGCAATATACCTAGCATGTACTTCCTTTTAGGACCTTATCCAATCAGTCTAATTCACCGGATTTAATGTGTTGGGCTTGCTGTTTGTGATGGGCTAACCCTATGATGCCAAACAAGTTAATCCTGAGATTTTCTCTGAGGACTTACAAATTCGAGCTTTTTAAAACTGATGGCTGGCCCATTCAATGCTTTCGCTGTTAAAACGTTTTCAGTTCAATACACTTTTCCAGTTAACTTTTGAGTCATGTTCTAAGTTTCTTTTTATTGATGTGATCTGCATTTTGTTGGCCTTGAGCCCTACTGTGATGCTATGCAAATTTTAGTATTTCTTGGCCTGTCATTTTGCTGCATTAGATGGCCCTATATCTTGAAGATTAATATAGGAGTTATGTCAATCTTTGGAGGATAATTTTGTTGTTTTGTCAACATGCTGAGCAGATGATGATGCAATATGTTTATACTGATATACTTGATGTCTCAAAATCGAGCTTTTTAAAACTGATGACAGCATGTTAGTTCATCCTTCAATTTCGGTTCTTGATGTTTCTTGTTATCCTCGTGCCAGGATTTCTTTTGGGATTTCACTTTGTAATCAGATTATTCTTGATGCAATTATTGATAATTGTCTTGACTATTTCAGGTACCAACACCTGGGATCGCTTTGAGATGAGGATTCACAAGAGGGTGATTGATCTCATCAGTACACCAGACGTGGTCAAGCAGATCACCTCGATCACCATTGAACCAGGTGTGGAGGTGGAGGTGACTATCAGTGACGCGTAATGTGGTAGCCAGCATCTTATCATTTTGAAAGGATCAGAAATGCAGTTGAACACGATGTATTCAGTTTCTAGTGTGAAAACTTGGTGTAACAGAGGAATTCTCTCCTAATCGATAAGTTATTCGCATCAGAGTTCAGTCTTATCGATGTTTTGCAACACGCTATGGATGTAGCCTGTTTCAATGGATGTTAGTGCATGAATGGAAAATGGTTAATGGATGCGCTCCCCTAATGCTTTGCTTTTCTCATGAATCTAGATTCTTGTTGATGTTTCGCTGCCTTACACTCAATCAAGTATGTTTATGAGATGAATATGAGTTGCCTGTTTCTCTAGATGTCATAGTTGAATGAGTATGTGTTGGTATGAATCTGAGTTGCCTGGTTCTCTAGATGTCAATAGTTGAATGAGTATGTGTTGGTAGTCTCTTTGACTACAAATACTTGGTGGTTTTACATCTCTGGGTTTATCGTGTTCTTTTGAGGCTAGCAAAGCCACTGTGGTCACCTATCAGTATCAACAGGCAGCGGCACTGTCACTGCGGATGACGGCATGTTGTTTCGCCGGCCTATCTGTGTTGCTGTGGGCAGTGAACGTGGAGATATGCTGTGGTGAAATCTGGTGAATGACCCGACAATGTCATCTACTCATCACCAAGAATGTAATGGCAATGGAGGCACTGGCGCTCGGACATCCGGCGCCCACGGCGTGTTTGGACGCAACTCCCAATCCTAGTGAACCGAACCGTGGCTTAGCTCTCAGTCACAGGCCCACTGCAACCCGCCTCCTATTCGCCGCCGCCCCACACCACGCGCGCACTCGTCCCCATCTCTCGCACTCCGCCGGTCGCCCCTGACCCCTCTCTCTCTCCAGCATGGGCTGCACTCAGAGCCGGATGAGAGCAAGACGCCCTAGCGTGCCCCAATCGTAGCACCCTCGTCTGTTTGGCACCCAAGCGCACTGCAGGTGTTCATCCGTCCGTCAGCCCGGCCGAACAAATAAAACACTTACAACATGAATGCAACATAGACCGAACATGAAACATTTGGCAACATGTGTGTGAAACACATGAAACATTCAAAATAAATAAAATACTTGCAACTTGCAACATGAAACCACTTACGCAAATATAAGATGAAAACAATGAAACATTTAGAACATATTGTTGCAACATATGGAACATCCAGATAAAAAACGATTGTAACATATGTCTGGAAATAGATGAAACATTTTGAACAAACGCTTGAAACATGCCTCTAAAAACACTTGCAACATATGCAACATCCCTCAATCTACTTTTGTAATATTAAGACAAATTGCAACATACATCTGAAACGCCTGAAACACTTGAAGTATATATATGTAACATATGGGAGGGGAAGGCCAGGCTGGTCGATTCCGGCTGTCGTGGACGCACCCGACGGCGAACCGCGGCGCGCGAGCACCACCAGCACTGCCCACGCTCGTGGGTGCCCTTGGCTCGACCGGGGAAGGCCTAAGGCGCCACGGCACATGCGCCTCAGTGGCCATGGCGGGGTCAGTGGCATGCGCGACGACGATAGGAGATGGACGGACGGACGACGAGGGATCGATCGGCACAAGGTGTCTGGGACGGGCGCGCGGTGCGGTGGGGCAGGGCGCGGAAGTGGACAAGCACGCGTTAGGGCAAAGGGGCACGGACAATGAGCGGCCACGCTACTTCAGGACCCACGGATAAGCACGAAGGAGTTGAGGATGGCAGATAAGCATGAAGGAGTCGGAGATTTTGCTTTTTATCTGGGTCTGCTCCTTGGGAGCCGGGGTCCGGAGGGGAGTCACATACGGACGCCCGAGTTGGATCATTTATGTAATAGCAAACGTGATAACCACTGAAACGTAATTTATTCTTATTCCAAAAGCACTCTGTAAGCGAATTTTGGTGTACAATACACAATCTCAAGAATTGTGTCATAGAAACATACATGCTACACACAAATAATATTACATACTCAAAACTTATCCCGCAAAAGTTTGACGCAAAAAAAAAATCCCGCGAAAGAAACAAAAAAAAGAGTATTTCCTCAGCACATGCCTAGCAAGATCACTTCAATGCCTCTGCGTGGGAGTATCACACGCCTAGTTCTTGACGAATGTGCTCAACACATCGAAGTAGTCGGGGAAGGTCTTCCGGGTGCACCCAGGGTCCCGGATTGTGACGGGGACCTCGGCGCAGGCGGCAAGGGAGAAGGCCATGGCCATCCTGTGGTCGTCGTACGTGTCGATTGCCGTCACGTTCAGCTTCTCCGGCGGTGTGATGATGCAATAGTCCGGGCCTTCCTCCACAGATGCTCCCAGCTGGTGGAAACACAAACAGCAGCTGAGGATGAACCAACCGCAGGCAAGCGCAAGAGGCAGCAAGCTGTGGAAAGAAAGACGACATGAGACCTGTGAAGCATGTCATTTTACCTTGGTTAGCTCCGTCCGGATCGCAACCATCCTCTCGGTCTCCTTTACTCTCCAGGAAGCCACTGCCAAAGAGCAATAGCTATTAGTGAAGCGTAACCAGAACCATGCCTTGAATGTTACTCCGTACATGCCTTGAATGTTACTCCGTATGAAGTCTTGTCATGTAGAACAGGCATGGTTGTAGGGCAGAGAATGTTTTACCATCTCTGATAGCTGTTGGGCCATCGGCAAAGAGGGCAACCACAGCGAGAGTCATGGCGACATCAGGCATTTTGTTCATGTTGACATCAATAGCCTTGAGGTGTTTCCTCCCAAATGGCTGCCGTGGTGGGCCAGTGACGGTTACGCTGGTCTCGGTCCATGTAACCTTAGCTCCCATCATCTCCAGTACCTCAGCAAATTTGACATCACCCTGCGGTATTCAGCAAATTAATAAGTAACGGAGACAGCATAAGGAGCACATTTTACAGGACTGTTTAGTTTGGTGTGTTTAACAAGTTATTACATAAATATCCACTAACCGAAGTATGTCTATTTGATATTTGCAGATGATTATGTTATTTAATGACTCTGAGAGCAATGCCGAGACCAAAAGAGCAAAAACAGTTAGCATTACGGCAAAGCTTTACCTGCAAACTAGTGGTGCCACAACCTTCAACAGTCACGGTTCCTCCAGTAATTGCAGCACCAGCCAAGAAATAGCTTGCACTTGAGGCATCACCTTCAACATAGGCATTTTTGGGGGACCTATTGATTGCAAAGCAAAAGAAGGTTTAGTTTAGGGAAACCGCTAATGAACATATGAACTGATTTCAGTAAAATGAACTAAGGGAGGCATGTTGGCTAACAACATGGATATGTCCTAAAAAAATAGAGGAGCAGGTTCACACATCACAGACGGAGCACAAAAAATGAAAAAACCAATCAAGTGGCTTTTCCTGAAAAAAAAAAGGTATCCAAGCCAATTGCCAAGTAGCTAAGTCGTGCTACCTAGACTGTCTCTTATAAACCAAAGAATGTTCGCTTGGCTGATAAGCCATGGCTGAAAGTACTGTTGACTGATTTGTTGTGAGAGAAAAATACTGTTCGTTGGCTGAAAAAGTACGACTTATAAGCCAAGCGAACAGGGCACAAGTTTCAAGAGGATGCGATTTCTGGTGATATCAACAGTCTACATAGTTGTTCCCTCTGTATAACTAGGTGACTACTAAATAGGCATTGCTTGGCTATTTTGGTTAGCGTTATTGACTCCAATAGACTGGCCATATTCCAACTGATTAAGTAACTTACACAGTCAATACTCAGTACTAGTTTTTTACCCTGCAACGATTTTCGCCTACGGTGCATATATTCAAATATGGATGCATCTGTTTGGCAAACTGAAAACTGAATCATTGACATCAAAGTGAAATAAATTACAAAGCTTACTTGTATTTTTGACCTCCCTTAATGTAGAATCTGTCCCAGCTATCAGAATGCTCTGCTTTCACGCCAAAACGCTCCATCAATCTCAATGTCATTTCGACATAGGGAATGGAGATTAATTTATCAATGATTTCAATCTCCACATCCCCTAGAGCCAAAGGAGCAGCCATCAGCAAGGCACTCAAGTACTGACTGCTGATGGAGCCAGAGAGCTTGACCTGAACAATGTAACAGTGGTAAGAGTTAATTCATGCTAAAAACATATATTATTAGACTAGAAAACAGGAAATGCCCCCAGAAGATGGAAATTAAGTTGCTAAAGACATGCCAAGTATTACTTCATTGAGCTTAATGGAAACATGGTTTGCTAGTTAGGGATGACCATTTGCAGGTTATTCAGATCAATCTATGTTTTCCTTACAAATGCAAAAGCTCGAAAATAGTTGTACCATTTACAGAAGAATGTAGCATGTGGCCCTTAGTAACTAACCTTGCCACCAGGTAGCCCTCCAATTCCATTGATCTGAACGGGTGGGCAGTCAGTGCCAAGGAAACAATCAACGTCCGCATCAAGCTGCTTCAATCCGACAACCAAGTCGCCAATGGGTCTCTCCCTCATTCTTGGTACTCCATCAAGCACGTAACTGAAGTTGAAAACCAATGCCCCATAAGCCACGACACATACCCATGGACTTCATACTAACTTCAACAAGTACTGTAGAAAAAAAAAGCATACGTTGCATTTCCACCAGCAGCAGTAACAGCTGCTGTCAATGGCCGCATTGCAGTTCCAGCATTCCCCAAGAAGAGCTGCACTTCCTCTTTAGCGTCCTCAACTGGGAACTTTCCACCACAGCCAACAACAACAGCTCTTTTGGCAACTTTGTCTGCTTCGACAGAGAGCCCAAGAGTGTTCAAGGCCCCGAGCATGTAGTGGACATCCTCACTGTTCAACAGGTTATCAACCACTGTTGTCCCCTGATCAAAGATTAGAAAACATAATTAACAAACAAGAAGCTATTTTTTTTCTTTATTAACAAGTTCTTTTTTGAAATCCTCAATAAGAAGTAATCAATGCTAGTTTTGTGACAAAATTTGTTAAAAAGAACGTTAAGGATCATCAATACTTTTTTTGAACGTAAAGGACATCATGATGACAGCATAAGATCAACCCTTCAGGGCTAGTTTGTTGCACCCAAATTTCATAGCAGAGCTCACCAAACACCAAGAGACAGCATGGCATCCTAAGAAACAATAGTCCGGCATAGCAAGAATCCCCTGTTTAGTGTTTACACATCGATCACCTAAAACCTGAATAAAAGCAGCAGGGAGGACTGGCTATGAAACGAGCCAACAAACTACTGACCTCCATCTCGTCGATCGAGCAACTACAACGAGAATTAGTATTCAATGACAAACTGAACATTTTTGCTATCAAGTTTGTTAACAGCAATGTAAGGGACCCTGGGTGGTTCATCCTTTTTATCATGATGGCAGTAAAAGATCAACCTTTCAAGGCTGGTTTCCTGTATCAAAATTTCACAGCAGATCCCACCAGAGAGCATGGCATCCCAAGAATGAGTAGGCCGATAGGGTATCAGCCACTTTTTTTTTAGTGTTTATTTACACTTTTTTTTACTGTAATGATTGACCATCTTAAGCCAAATACAAACTACCAAGACAAAGCAGGGAGCTAGGCTTGTAGTGCATCTGATCGGGAGATCGACTACACCGAGAATCCGTTCTATTCGACAAACAAAACATTCAGTATATAGCAGAGAAACAGGGCAGCAGCAAACCCCCTGTAAAATCTCATCTCCACACCGCACCCAAATTCCAGTTGGCCATGAAGGGAGAGAGGGAGGGCCGTCCCCTACTTACCTCGGACAGGGCGGCGAGCAGGAGGATCCGGTTGGACAGCGACTTGGACCCGGGCAGCTTGACGGTGCCGGAGATCTCCTTGATGGGCTGCAGCACGATCTCCTCGGCGCCCGCCTGCACCGCCGGGGCCGCCGCCGCCGCCGCGGGGACCACGCGGCGCCCGCGCGCGCGCAGCCCGCGGATGGCGGCGGGGGCGGGGGCGGCGGGGAGGGCGGACGGGCGCGCCGCCGAGCTCGGGCGATGGTGGTGGTGGCGCCGTCCCGCGGCGAGGTCCAGCGACACGGTGGCCGCCGCGGCGGCCTTGGTCGCCATGGCCGCCATTGCCAACGACGACGCGGGTTGGTGAGGGGTAGAGGTGCGCGCGCGGGATTGGTGAGGGGCGGGGGAGGGGGGGTTGGTTCGGCTCGCGGTTGGTGGCGTGGACGGGGGACGGGGGACGGGGGAGGAAGAAATACGAGAGGGGTAATGGAAACCGGTGAGCGTGCGCGCCGCGGTGCTACTGCCACCAACCCCCGCGACTCGCTGGGGGCCGCTGCTGCGGACTGCAATACGGTACGGGCTGGTCCAGTCCGGGTGGCAGTTCGGTGGAGAGGGTGAGAGAGACAGAGTGGTTGGTGTAGGCGGACGGATCGGGCCGGAGTTGCACGGCACGGGTGTGCAGTGTGCTGCAGACGAAGCAAGAGCGCCAGCACGGCACTAGCGCGGCCAACGGCCGTCCGGTGGCCTCCGTCAACCACTGTTGTTATTGACATGTCTTTGTTTCGCTGTTCTCCCTATCGAGCTTCGCCTACCTTGTCCTCCTACCCGCGACCGCATCTTCTTGTCCACAATTGCCCAACCGGCCTTACCTGATGGCTGATACTATAATGATATGTCTCAGGCGAGCGTTCCATGACTCTCGTCCGGACACGGGTCCTATCTCTCTTGAAAAAAAAAATCCCCGCTCGCTCATCCGTGTATCCGTTCGGCGTCCGAAATAGCATGGCTGCTCATCCGTTCGGTCCCTTCCCGCACCATGCGTTCGTCGGCTACCGCGCCGTGCCCTCCCCGTCTCGCTGGCCACGCCGCGTGGCAGTCCCAATTACCTGCACCGCTTGCTACCTCGTGGTCCGCCCGTCCTCCATCGCCGTCGCGCGCACCGCTGACCCTGCCACGGCCGCTTGGGGCGCAGATGCCGTGGCACCTCAGGTCTTCCACGGCCGAGCCAAGGGCACCCATGAGCGCAGCCGGTGCTGGTGGTGCTCGCGCGCCGCGGCTCACCGCCGGCTCCCACCCCGACGTCCGAAATCGACCGGCCCGACCTCCCTCCTCTATGTTGCATATGTATGTTTCAAATGTTTCAGTCGTTTCAGAAGTATGGTGCAATTGTTTTATCTTGATGTTGCAAAAAATAGATTAGGGGGAATGTTGCACATGTTTGTATATGTTGCAAGTGATTCAGAGGCATGTTGCAAGCGCTTGTTCAAAATGTTTCATCTATTTTCAGACGGATGTTGCAATCGTTCTTGATCTGGATGTTGCATATGTTCCATACATATGCTGGCCCCGTTCGGTTGGCAAAATTTTAGCTGAAACTAGCTGAAAAACACTGTTCTGGCTGAATTGTTGTGAGAGAAAAATACTGTTCCAGCTGAAAAAAGAAGCCGAACAAGCCGAATATGGGATAAGCCAAACGGGACCAATATGTTCCAAATGTTTCAGTTGTTTCTGTCTTATGTTGCAGCAAGTGGTTTCATGTTGTGAGTGTTTTATTCGGATGTTTCATGTGTTTCACATTAATGTTGCAAGTGCATGCTTCAAATGTTTCATCTATTTCCAATCTTATGTTGCATTCATATTGCAAGTGTATTATGTTGTTTGGCCGGGGATGAGCCAGGGGCTGGTGGAGGGGGCACGCGGCACATCGAGGGGCTGGCGGATGGAGGCGCTGGGGGCGGCGGACGAGGGTGTTGCGGGTTGGGGCGTGCTGGGGCGTGCTCGTCCTTGGCCGCTCATCCCGGCTCCTGAGTGTTGCCCGCGTGGAGAGTCGGAGAGAGGTGGGGGTTAGGGGAAGGACCAGCGGGTGCAGAGACAAGGGCGAAGTGCGCTCATGGGGTGGGGCGAAGGCGGACGGGGTCGTGGCGAAGGTCGATGGGGACGGGCTGTGCGTGCGTCTATCGAGACATCTGGGCGCTAGCCACTCCGTACCTGATATGGTCATTTTCATTAATACAAGCACGGTGCAAAAAATTGTATGTTTGTTATATATAGCACACGTGCATATTTGCTAGTAGAATTAAAGGAGAAAAATAATAAAGGAGAAAGAAAAGCTATCATGTAAGAGTTGCTTGGTTTGTTCATGTCATTGAATCCTACATGGACGACCAAAACTGGCCTGTTGGGGCCTCACCGAGAAAGCTGGCTAAGCTGGGTTGCTAAGACGGCTAAGCCCACTTGTTTCAATCTGAATAGGGTTTAGAGATTCCTGCGGATTTTGATTTGTAAGCAGTCTATAAATGGGATAACATCATTCTCACTATAAATATAAAGTGGCATGGCGGACTGAGGGAATCCAATGGATCCAGCACCAACAAAATCTATTGTTTTATCATTTCCAAAACCCTAGCTTGGACAACTTTCATACTTGTTATTCCTACGACTACAAGCATCTTGACAGTGTTCATGGGTGTTCTAAGTGGTATATTGATCCTAGAATAAACCCTAGGTGCGCCTCTCCGACTAACCCGTTTTCATGAGGCGTTCTTCAGTTTTCATGAGCACTCTATGAAAACCGCCTAAGCCAGCCACTGCAACCGGCTAGGCTGGGTTCGCTGCGAGGTGATCTTTGTGCGATCCGAACGTCCTACCTCTTTGGATATATGACTAAATTTGCATCAACCACCTTGGAGGCTTGGGAATTTATTTAAACAAACTAAATTGTTCAATGCGGTAAAAAACATCTTTTAGTTGTATATTTAAAGACAACATTTCCTTATACAAAGATGACTTTTGTCTTAGCAAAAATATAGAAGGTCTACATGTTATTCAATATCACATTATAAAAACTAAGATGCGCTAAATTTGTAGGTCTCCATGTTCCGATGCCCTGCAAATGTCCTCGCTATAGTGCTAAAATATACTCCCTAACTTTCTTGGAGTTGGAGGTCCAAGCATTTCAAGTTTGACCCAATTTATATAATAGAATAATAACATTTATAATACTAATTAAATAGATTCTTCATTAATTATGTTTTTATAGTATACTTATTTGATATCATAATTTTTTGTAATTTTTTCTATAATTTTAGTTAAATTTAAGATCCTTTAAGTCTAAAAAAATAAAATAACTTATAATTTAGAACGAAGGAGCCATAGCTATTAAAGTAACCTGGTCAACAAACGAAAAGACAGCCAATAGTTACAGAGTGTTTGGATCCGGTGACTAAAATTTAGGAGGTATCACGTAAGGATGTCGTAAGGAGTGTTCGGATACTAATAAAAAAATAAATTACAGAATTCGTCAGTACTCCACGAGACGAATTTATTAAACCTAATTAATCCCTCATTAGCACATATTTACTGTAGCGCTACATGTTATGAACGACATATAGGAATATGAAGTAAAGAATCAAGCCACAGAGGAGACACACGATTTAACGTGGAAAACCCCTCCAATGTGAAGGGGAAAAACCACGGGCACCAGCCAGCTACAATCTCACTATCTCAAGAGTTTTGGGTTACACGCCTATGGCAGCTTACAAGAGAATCAAGTCTCCACGAAACTCTAGCAAAGGTGTATATATCGTACCGTACCGCGGGGGGCTCCGCCCCCCCCCCCCCGCACCCTCCGAGCACAGGGGTGAGACCTGATGGGCCGGCTTCAGACTCCGCTACGCTCCGGCCCAAGCCTCCGGCGACGGGCCTCCGCTCTGCTCCGTCAGAAGCCTGGTCTATATCCTGGAGTGAATTTGGAACAACTCCAACACTACATTGTCAAATCATGGACTAATTAGACTTAAAAGATTCGTCTGACAAATTAGTCGCAAGCTGTGCAATTAATTTCGTAATTAGTCTATATTTAATACTCTATACATGTATCTAAATATCTGATGAGACAACAACTAAAATTTTAAGAGGAGAAACTTGCCAGCCGGGTAGAGAATCGAAGCTTTTAGACTTGTCTGCTAAGAACTTAATGTTGTGTGTCAATGTACGGCGCTCTGCCATTGTCAGAGCAAGTGCGAGTACAGTGATCTGCAATACGCAGAGCACGTCAATATTGAACCTAACGTAGATGAGAGAGCGGAGAGAGAAAATTGCTTATCGCCGACAGAACATCGGAAATTTGGGTTACTGTAGCACTTTCATTTTTATTTGATAATTAGTGTTCAATCATAGACTAATTAGACTCAAAACATTCGTCTTGTAATTTTCAACTAAACTGTGCAATTAGTTTTTTTTCGTCTATATTTAATACTCCATGCACGTATCGCAAGATTCGATGCGATGGGTACTGTAGCACTTTTTGGAATTTTGGCGTTGGAACTAAACACGCGCTTTGTATATTTTTTTCTCGATAACGGAAAAGATTTGTTCATTTTTATACTAAGATAGAGAAAAAGTTCGATACAACACGCCTTCGAACTTCCTATGGGTTAGTGTGGGGGTATGACCCCCGGTACCCGCAAGGATCCACATGGACCGAGCCGCTAGGGGAGACCTAGCCTATGAGACTATGCATGGGTCGTGCCACTGGTCGAGGCTCAGCTTGTAAGACAACGTCACACGAAGTATGTCGCAGGACGACGTGCTTCACAAGGCAACGTAAAGATTATCGGTGATCGACGAAATCTGCTCAGATACGATAGATATTATATGATCTGTAACTTCCTATCTTGTAAACGGATCAGAATGAAAATAACCTATCTGTAACCCTACCCCAAGCTATATAAGGCGGGTAGGGACCCCCTTGTGGGAACAGAGGATACGGAATACAAACCATAAAGACACAAGACGTAGGGTATTACGTCGAGCTGACGGCCTAAACCCGTCTAAATTGTTGTATCTTGCGTTCTGTGTCACCATCCAGTTCCTTCATGTGCACCTCCACCGATTAATCTACTACCGTGGGTATACCCTTCGGTAGATTCTCGACCAGATTTCATCGACAGTGGCGCGCCAGGTAGGGGGTGTGCGTGCTGAATCCATGGCGAACCAGATGGTCACCTTCCCAAGCTCCATGCCCCCTCGAGCCGGGCCAGATTTTCATGGTCGGATCCATGACCAGGGTCATCGGCCCTGACGACAACGGGGAGATCGTGGAGGCAGTGCAG